CACCCATGCCCCCTGCCCCACTCCCCCAATCATCTTCCCCGACTGCAGTCCCCTCACCTTCCCACTGTGCCTCAGTGGGCTCTAGATGCGCCAGCTCCACCCAAAGACTTCTCACAAGGCCCACCGGGTATGGGGCAGGGCGGCTGTGCAGCACCAAGGCCTCCTTCAGGAGGAACCATGGAGAAAGGAGTGTCTGGCCCAAATATTGTACCCGGTCCGGCCAGGTTCCCATCACAGAAGCGGTGGCCCTGGGGAGAGGCAGGTGGGCAGCAGAGTCAGAGTCCTGGTCTTTCCTTCCACTCTGCCCTCCCATGGCACTTCGTTTGGGACTGAACCTCTGTGCAGGCCCCTCCCCTTCCAGGGCACAGCCCCATGCCACCCCCGGCCCCTGTGTGGCTGTCCCGGTTGTGGCAGGCAAGGGATTCAGCAGGTTCAACACGGAGTCTGTGTGAGACTCTTCTTCCCACTGGCAGCTCTCCTGAAGGTCCAGTGCGCTGCCCACCCCAGCCTTGCAGGCCCCTGGGCATCTGGGCTGAGAACTGAGACAGACTTGTGAGCAGCCTGCTCACCACAATCCTGTTCTGAGTCTGGCCACGGTGGTCAGGGGAGATGGATATGGAGAGGGGCAGGAGCAGGGTGGGTCTGTGAGGGGGATGAGACTCTGAGGCACAACTCAGCCCAGCCTCCCCTCTGGGTCCCCAAGGCCAGGGACCCCACCCACTGTCCTGTTTGACTCATGTCTCCTTGCAGAGGAGCCACCGGAGCTCAGCTCTCCCTTGGGAATCAGAAGATGCGTAAGATCAGGGTGCTGCCAGGCCCTGCCCTACCTGAGCCCCCACTCTGCTAACACAGGAGACCCTCCTTCTGCACCCACAGACCACTCACTTTGCTAATTGCTCCTGCGGTGTGTCTCCCCGGTCATTATGAGGGGTTATCCCTCCAGATGTGGAAACACCTTGATGGCATCAGCTCTGATGGATGGGGACAGGACCTGCGAATGATGGACAGTGTGACTGTCTGACTCACTGACTAGAACTGAGGCCAGAAATTGTGTCTGCTTCATTCTTTGAACCAGGCTAAGTGTCTCCACAAGTGGCTGCCTGTGGTAGGAGCTGAATGCGCATTGTCAAGTGCATCTGAGTGGGCCTGGGGCCCTGCTCTCCCCTGCCATCCCCCATGTGGCTCCACCAAGGACCAGGACACGGTCAGCGAGGTGACATCTCTCACTGCTTGACAGGTTGTTTCCCATGTGCTTTTCCACACTCAGATGCCACAGGCCGCTGATGGGAGAGTCAGGGGACTTTCCATGGGACAGAGAGACATAATTGACAGGATCAACCACAGACGGTCCAGCAGCCCTTTCTTCAGAGCCGGCGGCAGGTAGGCCCTGCCATGGCCGGTCCCCACAGCAGTGCCTACCACAGCCCTATGAAGCTAATCCTGTACCACCCACTTTTCAGAGGAGCATTCTGAGCCTCAGACTGATGTGATGACATTGTGAAGACCCACAGCTAGCAGTGGGCAGACTCCCCACTGTGTTGAACAGGGGACCCATGCTCACCTTGTTAACAGCTCGTCCAGGAACCACTGGGCTCTGGAGAAGGCCGGGCGGGTGGGCATCAGGGTGCAGATGTGGGGGATGTTGCCAGCCGGGAAAGCTGGTACCAGGGACTCTGCCACCTTCTCCAACATGCCTTTCTGGAGGTCTCGCATCCTGCGGGCTTCACATAGTCTCAGAGTGAACTCAGCTGCATACTGGGTGGGACAAGGAGGGACATCCAGTCAGCGGCATCACCGTGAATCCCAGGAGGATGGAGGTCTGGAGCTCACACAGGAGTCCCAGGCCCTCAGGGACAGGAGGGCCCAGGCTGAATGAGGTTCTAGGTTTTCAAAGTTCCACTTCAGTTCAGTGGGTGGGGGATGTTCCTACAATTGTGACCTTCGGGGCATGTTTCTTGTTTGCTTGTGTGTTTTGGCTGAGGAACAACAAACCTCCTGTATTAACAGTTCATATGATGAGCATTGACCCCATGAGGCCTCAGGAAACATCCACATTATAGAGATGAGAACACAGAGGCTTACGGATGTCGCATGTCTGCTCAAGGGCATGCAGGTCAGAACTGGGAAATGTCCTGCATGACATTCCTTCTCAGCTACCTGAGACTGATCTGCTCCCAACATGAATGGAAAGGGGCTGGGAACCTTGCCCATCCCTGTGTGGGCATAGTGCACACGGTAGACATGGCCTATGAAAACTACTGACTTCAAAAAAGACCCTTTTGTTTCATCCTTTTATATTAAAGGGCATTTTAAGACCCTCGTTGTGAGGATCCCAGATTCTGCAAAGCGGCAAATGCCTGCAGACTCCAGACTGGAGAAATGTCATTATCAGGCAGGAATCTGACCAGAGGACTCAAGAGGGAGCAAATCCATGCGGTGAATGTAAAGTGCCAGGTGACTCAGTGTCCCTGTGAGGCAATTGCCAATGAAGCAACACTGTGCTTACCTTGGACAGCCTGACATCAGACAGGTGAAAATTTCAATGAGTGAGAAAACCTTGGGCCAGGCTGGGAGCAACATTCATCAGAAACTGCTATTGGCAACGTCCCTGCTACAGCCCTTTGGGTTTGGAATCTGCCTGCAGCCATTCAAATTTTACATGTGCACGTCCTTCCACCAACAGAGGGCGTCCATCTCCAGAGGGAATTCTGGCCCCTGAAACACCCCTGCCCCACTCCCCCAATCATCTTCCCCGACTGCAGTCAACTCACCTTCCCACTGTGCCTCAGTGGGCTGTAGATGCGCCAGCTCCACCCACCTTCCCACTGACAGGTCATGCTCACCTCAGAGGGTGTGGTACATGTTGTGATCTGAATGTGTCCCCCCAATTCCATGACTTTGGGACCCCTAGAACTTCACTATGTGTCTGCATTTGAGTTTTAGTCTTCCAGCAAGTCATTCAGGTGCCGTGAATTCAGTGGTGTGGGTCTTGATCTAATCTGACCAGTGTCCTCAGAAGAAGAGGGGAGGACACGTGGCAGTGCAGAGGGGAGTCCATGTGACACACAGAGAGAAGACAGCCATCTACAAGCTGAGGAGCGACCCCCTCAGGAGAAACCAGCCCCGCTGACGGCACCATCTCTCACTTCTAGCCTCCGGAATTGTGAGAAAATGAATGTCTACTGTTAACACCACCCAGTGTGGTCCTATGTTATGGCAGCGCAAGCAAGCAACCTAACACAGTCCATTCCGACACACATCAGTGTTCCGGGCAGCACTGCTGACATGGCAGCTGAACTGCATTAGGCCCATGTCCGTCAGCACTGAAAGGCCGCATCGCTGGGCGAAGGACCCCCGTTATTGGACCAGGTCTGCAAGGACAGTGGAGCTGAGTGCTCTACAGGATTCTGGCAAGTGTAGTTTAAACAACACAGATAGGCAAACGTGCTTCTGGTCTACTGTGAAGTGAAACAATATTATTTCACTCTGATATTTTTAAAAATACATGAGGAGTGTCTTTCTACTCTCCCATGTAACTGGAGGGAGGAGGGGAGGCCCGGATTCCTCTGTCATGGGGCTGAGGCACACTCTAGGGCAGTGATGGCGAACCTATGACACGCATGTCAGAGGTGACACGCAAACTCATTTTTTTGGTTGATTTTTCTTTGTTAAGTGGCATTTAAATATATAAAATAAATATCAAAAATATAAGTCTTTGTTTTACTATGGCTGCAAATATCAAACAATTTCTATATGTGACACGGCACCAGAGTTAAGTTAGGGTTTTTCAAAATGATGACATGCCGAGCTCAAAAGGTTCACCATCACTGCTGTAGGGAGAGCCGTTGGAGGGCCTCAGGGGAGTCCCCAGAATTGAGTCTGGGTTCTGGGCACTGCCAGGTCATCAGTTATTGTGGATGTAGAGACCCTCAAGGCCAGTTCTCACCTGAGTCCGGCCCTGGATGGTGTCTGTGGCCTGATGCACCTTCCCCGGGTTGAGGGAGGTCGAGTAGTTGAACCCGTTGACCAGCCCTTCAGTGATGTCCCTGTTGGAGATCTACAAAGACAGAGCCCGGTACCGGGCCAGGAGGCTTCAGGAACCTTCCACCCCAATCTGGGGCTCTACCCCATGGCAGGCCTGGCAAACTGAGACAGTCTGTTAGGGAGTGAGGCTTAGAGAAGGTCTACAAGGACAGTGGAGCTGACTGCTCAACAGGTTCCTTGGGGCAGGGAGTTACAATAATAAAATAGCAAAATCCAAATGTGCTCCTGGCCTACTGTGAGTTAAACATATTTTTTCCTTTAAAATTCCCACAAATATATGAGGAGTGTCTTTCTATTCTCTCGTGTTGTTGGTGGGGGGAGTGGAGATCTAGATTGCTTTGTCATGGGACTGTGGACACGCTAGTGCAGCGGTTCTCAACCTGTGGGTCGTGACCCCTTTGGCGGTTGAACTACCCTTTCACAGGGGTCGCCTAAGACCATCCTGCATATCAGATATTTACATTACGATTCATAACAGTAGCAACATTAAAGTTCTGAAGTCGCAAGGAAAATAATTTTATGGTTGGGTCACAACATGAGTAACTGTATTTAAAGGGCCAGAAGGTTGAGAACCACTGTGCTAGTGGGAAAGCCCTGTTAGGGCCCTGGGGGAGTTTGCAGATTGAAGTCTGGATTCTCGGCCCTCCCTGGTCATCTTGGGGTCCTGGGTGTGGAGACCACCCTGGGCCAGCTCTCACCTCAGACAGACACTGGACAGTGTCATCGGCCCGGTTCACCAGCACCCTGACCTGGTAGGAATACTGGAAGGTATAACTACTATTGCACACCCACACCCACTGGCTCAATACTTCACATGATGTTAAATTAATCCCAAATTCTGGTGTTCCCTTTAAAAAATCACTGCTCACTCAGGCCGGTTGCTTAGTAGTTACAGCATCAGTCTGCAGACCAAGGTGTCATGGGTGTGATTCCTGTTCAAGAGCACTACCTCGGTTGCTGGTTCCCCAGCCTGGGTAAGGGTGCATTTGGGAGGCAACCATCTGATATGTCTCTCTCAGGTTTTTGTATCTCTCCACCACCCCCCGCCCCCCCACACCACAACCCATTCTATGGCCCATCCACTCTCTCTAGAAATCAATGAAAAAAATATCCTCGGGTCAGGATTTTAAAAAATCATTTCTCTGCCAGGCCCCCTAATTAGAACCCCGCTTCCCAAGGCTGAGTGCCCTGGACTCCAGGACAGGAACCGCTGGGTGAAATTGGACATGGCCTGCAGAGGCCCTTCAGAGCCTGCGGCTGGCTCTGTTGCCACTGTTTAGTTTCAGAATGTATATAATTGACACCCGATTTGAGTTTGTTTTACTTTGACTGAGTTGTGTGCTTCTTTTGTCTTTGTTTTTTTGGTCACAAATCACTAGCCATTAGTAAGCTTTTCTAATATTGCTCAGCAATGCACCATACTTTTTCCCCTTTTTACATTTCACTCTCTTCAACCATTTTTACCACCCTCCGTCCATGGCAACCACTAATCTGTTCTCTGAATCTATGAGGTTGTTTTGTTTTTATTCCACATACTAGAGGCCCTTTGCATGAAGAGATTCATGCAATAGGCCTTCCTTCCCCTGGCTGCCGGCTCCGGATTTCCTCCGGCACCCAGGACCCAGGCCTTTGCTCCGGCTGCAGCGGAGAAGCCAAGTCTCTTCAGTCTTCAGTCGTCCTCAGTCTTCAGTCGTCTTCAGTCTTTGCTGGGGCCAGAACCTCAGTCTTCCCTCCACACCTGCATATGCAAATTAACCACCATCTTTGTTGGGCTAATTTGCATACTCATCCTGATTGGCTGGTGGTCATAGTGGAGTGACACCAATTTGCATGTTTCTCTTTTATTAGTGTGGACTAGAGGCTTGATGCCTGAAATTCATGCATGATTTGGGTCCCTAGGCCTGGCTGGTGATCAGGGCCAATCTGTGGGGTGGTCGGCAGGGCAATGGGGGGGTCCCCACTGTCACCCACCTTGGCCAGCCTGGCATCGCCCGCTCACCAGCCCTTACCCCTGCTGTCATTGCTGCCTCCAGCAGGGGACAGGTGGGGTGATGGGAGATGGCACCGATACATTTACCAGCCAGTCCCGCCCCCCACTGCTGCTGCTGCTGGTAGCCTCCCTCTGTGGGGCGACTGGTGGGTGAGGGGTGGGTGAGGAGGCAGGGCCCCACTGGCGCCTGCCTTGGCAGCCTGGGGCTTGCGGGCTGGGGGCAGCTCCTGCATTAAGCATCTACCCCCTGGTGGTCAGTGTGTGTCATAGCGACCCATTGTTCCACTGGTCATTCCGCCATTGGATCAATTTGCTTATTAGGCATTTATTATATAGGATTAGCAAGATCATGTGGCATTTGTCTCTCTCTGTCCAACTTAGTTCACTTATCATTGTGTCCTCGAAGACCATCTATGTTGTTGCAAATGTCAAGATTTCATTTTTTATGACTGAATAATACTCTCCTGTGTATATGCACCACATCTTCTCTATTCAATTGTCTATCAATGGACACTTAGGTTGTTTACATATCTGTGCTATTGTAAATAATGTTGCAATAAACATAAGGATATGTATCTTTTTGAATTAGAGTTTTTGATTTCTCCACATACCCAGAAGAGAAATTGCTGGCTCATATGCCAGTTCTATTTTTAAGTTGTTTAGGAATTTCCATACTGTTTTCCATGGTGGCTGCACCAACTTACAATCCTACCAACAGTGCCCAAGGGTTTCCTTTCCTCCATGTTCTCACCAGCACGTGTTACCTCTTGTCTTTCTGATAACAGCCCTTCTAACAGTAGGGTGATATTTTTGTGGTTCTGATTTGCATGTCCCCAATAATTTCTGAAGTTGAGCATTTCCTACACTTTAATTTTAAATGCTACTGAATAAGCAGCACTATATAGAAAACTAAAACCACTGCTACTCCACCCTGGCCTGTGTGGCTAAATGGTTAGAGGGTTGGCCATGCATCAAAGGGTCGTGGGTTTGCTTCCCAGTCAAGGGCACGTGCCTGGGTTGCAGGTTTGATCCCACATGGGGAAAGCAACCAATGAATGTGTCTCTCTCACATCTATGTTTCCTCTCTCTTTCTCTCTCTCTCCCTTTCTCTCTTTCTGTAAAGACTGAGAATAAACATAAAACCCATCACAATGAATCATCATAAATGTCTCAGTCCTGTGCAGAGGCCCTGCAGAGGCTGATAATGAAGACAGAGGGCGGGAGGGCCCTGTTTACAGGGGGGTTGGTAAGGCTCTGTGGAGAGACGCTTGTTCCCGCAGAAGGTGAGGAGGGGCCAGGTGGGGTGTCCCTGAGCCTCTCTATGGCTTCCTCCAGGCTCCCCAGGCAGCGTCTGGGCGAGAACTCCAACCACATAGGACTTTGGGTGAAGGGGGTTCACTAGAATTTTTAAAGTGATTTCTGTGGGCAATCTCTTTGCTCCCTTTCCCCCTCACAAAGCCCAGTGAGTGGGACAGAAGTTCTTGTGGGTAAAGAAACAAAGGTTTAGAGGACAAGAGCTTTGAGAAAGCCTGGGAGTAGCAGGGCAGGGACTGGGCTAGATCTCCCAGGAGCAGCCCCAAACCCCAGAACTGCCCATGTCTCCCCCACCTGTTTCCCAGGTAACCTGGAGAGACAGGGAGAGCCGCCATCAAATCAGATGATGACGGGCGGGGTTCCCAGCATATCCCTGCACACCCTGTCCAACTGACCTCCCCGGGTCTTGGCTTGGGGACACGCCTCCCTGTACTTCTGGCCTTGGGCCCTGGACTCGATGTTGCGTTTTGTTTTGTAACCTGCAGAGAGGGTGGGGACTCTTTGCTGTGCTGGTTGGGTCGCTGTGGCCCCACACGAGGCCACTGCTGTCTGATGGAAATGAGTCAACGGGAGTGGGAGGCCTTGCAATGGGAAGAAATGGGAAGCCACAGGAGGGTTCTAAACAAGGGACCACTCAGTCACATTGATCTTCACGTCTCATTCTGGCTATTATGTGCGAAGCAGCCGTTATTCCTGTGTGTTCATTTGCCGTGAGGAGGGACCCGTTCACACCAAGGCCCTGGCTCAGCTTGTCCAGCTGCCAGCGTGCTCCCTACTCACGGGCTTAGAAAGAGTCAACCTGTTCAGAACCAACTCTGGCTGCTAACTCACTGCCTCTGCTCCTAGGATCATCTGGAAATTATTAGAAGAAGTATGATTGAAAAACCTCATTATTGTTAATATAAAAAATAATTGTGTTCTATTCAGCACTTTTAAAAAGTAGATCACAATAATTTTCTAGATTTCTGGTCAAGATGGCAGCAGAGGTAAACATAGTACTTGTCTCCTTCCACAACCGACTCAAAATTACAACTAAACTACAGAACAACCATCGTTCAAAACCACCTGAACCCGAACTTTATGGGAGTCCTACAACTAAGGGATTAAAGCAGCCACATTGAGACTGGTAGGGTGGGCAGGACAGGCTGGTCCCACAGCCACCTGTGGTGGGTAACAATCAGGAGGGATATCTCGGCTGTAGAGCGCCCCCTTGAGGAGTGAGGGAGCCCAAGCCCCACATCAGCCCCCTGGCTCAGGGTTTCAGTGCCAGGAAGAGAAGTCCCCACAACTCCTGCCTATAAAAACCGGTGGAGATAGAAGCTGAGTGAGACAGGGGCTGCTGGAGTCCCAGGCAGTTCCTTTTAAAGAGCCTGCACATGGACTTACTCAGACTCACCCGCTCTAAGCTCCAGTGCTGGGACAGCAGTTTAAAAGAATCCAGGGACACAAAGGGTAGAAACGAAATTGTCTGGTTTTGGGGTGAGAGGCAGAGGGACAGTTTTTTTCCAAGACAGAAGTGCTGGTAGAGACCATTGTTCCTTTTCTGAGCTGGCAGGCGGAGCCATATCTGAGACTCCATCAACCTGGCTCACTCTGGTTGCCCCTCTCTGGTGATTGTGAGGCCCCACCCCACCCAACTTGCAGGCCCACCTAAGCCGCTTCAGGTGGCTTTTCCATATGAATGGCCTGTCTGGGCTCATGCTTCAGGTTTTCCTAACATTTCTCAAACAAGCAGCAGCTGGCCTCGGTGTGCCCTGCACCTCTCACTGAGTGGACCCAGACCTGGCACTAGCGGCAGTCAGCCT